ATTCCTGATGACTCAATTTAAAAGGCAGTAAGATACACATCAGTACAGCACTATCAACTTCAATGACAAAAGAAGGAATGAATGTGTCATAGAGGCATGCTTCTCTATCACAAAAAGGGATGATGCTTGCCAACATGTTACCAGTGAAAATTATATTTGAATAATGAACATTTAAAAGAAAGAATGATGCTGATGTAACAGGATTTTTCATTAGTTTCTACTCATTGCATGAGTTAAGATTCATGAGCATAATTTCTTGAGAACCAACTAACATGAGCTTCTTTTCATGCTTAGAGAAATGACCACTAGAGCCTAAAACTAAAACAATTTCTTGTTCAAGGAATGCAGTGTATATACTCTCGTCGATGAAATTGCTTTGGCTAAATTGGCCCTACAAAAGCAATAGACAATAAAGAAGCATAAAAGCACAATTCCTATTTCATTCTTTCTAAACTTCTTTTGGTAAACAAACTTCAAAATTCAAATAACTTATTATTCACTATCTCACCCAGTGGGATAAGACTATAGTTGTCTATTCATCCACCTTTACTTTTTCATCTCTTGTACACTTATTTAGTTATTAACTTATTATTTACTCTTGTTCACACTTCACTTCTCAACATTCACCACCATAGAGCGTTTTTGACCCTACAACAATCAATATAATTTTCCCCGTGTTTTGAAAGTGACTCTGATCCCAAATTACACAACATATATTTCATCCACCCAACTAGAACCTATATGTGATAATGTGCACTACCATCAATCTTCAATCACTGAGAATGATGGATCCAAGATACATAAACCATGCAACTTGTGTATAAATATCATTCCCTGTTTACACCTTTAAAATATTACTCACTTGCATCTTAATGAACTTCTGTTTGATACACATTGTCTTTAACATACTAAATTAAAAACCCTACACTGCTATGTTTTACTCCACCACTCAAGTTTAGAATCTGCTCTTTCTCTCGTCTCATTGACTAAAAATATATGATGCACAAGAAGCATGCATCGAGGCACTAGATATGACAAGTTTTTACACAATAATGCACTTTTATTTCAAGCCCGTTCTCTGTTCAAATTCCTAAAACCTCAAGTGAAGCATTATCTCATCCTAATTGGCACCAAGCAACGATAGATTAGATGTCTCTCAACTCAACATACAGCACATTGGATCCAACATCTAATGTAACCAGCAACAGCTAATTGTCAGTGGACGTTTATATTCAAAGTTGGTCCATCTTGGCTGTAATTATAAAGACCATTTGAAGGCTCATTTAGTTGCCCTGTATTACACACAGCTCTATGGTCATGGTTACAGATACAGAGATACATATTTCTCCAGTTTCTAAGATTGCCTCTGTTCCATTCTTCCTCACCATGGCCACTGATCAAGTCCAGCAAGCATTGACCTCTTTATCACCTTGACAAAAAGAATGCCTTCCTAGTAATTTATAGGAGGAAGTTTACATGGGACAACCTCCTAGTTTTGTTATTTGGGGAAAATCTAAATCAGTGTGCAAGCTTCATAAATCCTTGTACTGACAAAAGCAGTCCCCTTGAGTTTGGTTAGTCCACTTCAAACCATTATTCAAGTATTTGGCGTAACTCATGTTAATTTCCTGATCAACACATCAACCTTCTTTATATGGATGACATTATCATTACAAAAAGCATGTTTTTTTTACCTTTAAATGTACTTAATTGCATGTCAACTCTCAGAGACAACACCAGATAAACAAAGGTAGGACATTTAATATGAATCTTCAAAATCAAACCATAGGTGTATTCATTAACCACTACAAGTGAAACACAATTTTGTACTGATAAAGCAGACTGGTTAGCAGAAAGAAAACCTAGTATAAGTTTGACATGTCATTTTGGTAAGTCAAGTGATATAAGCATACCATAACTCATTGCGTTAAATCCAAACACATCCATTGTTCATCACGCCAAAACATCATGAGGCCTCACCATGTGCAAAATAACAAATTAACCCATGCTATTTTAAAATCAAAACACCAAAATCTACAACATCACTAGCAACAAAAAACATGAATTTTTCATCCAATCTAAGGTTAACACGACACGAGCTGTTCATCTAAGGCAGCAACCTCCAAAGCAATCAGAATTGTCAACTATCAAGCAGAGAAACAACCACAAAACATGCTCAAATCACCACATAAAACAAGACCCTGACTGACAATCACAGGATTCAGTAAATTCCAACATTGTCACTAAGGATCAATAGCAGCAGTTGAACCAAATCAGCACAAGCACAAGCACACACAAATAAGAGTCTGGTTAGATAAACTTCTCTGGAAACACTTGTAGAGAAAAAAAAAATTGAAATAAACTTTTTTGTAAGCTGAAACTAACTAATGCGTAAGTTAAAAATAAGATTTTAGATAAACTAATATGAGACAATTTCTACAAATTAGCATATACTTAAGTTAATTGCAACTTATAGAGAAGCTAATTTCACTTTTCCTTCCTATTTTTCTCTTCAGGGTTTCTGGAGAAGCTTACTCAAACACATCCTAAGGCACTTAACATCTCAAAACACACACACACACACACACACATGACATACCATGTTCCTAAGCAGCAAGACCCTGGTAGGCACCCCATTGAAGCTAACACTCTTAACTTTCTTGCTACTATTATCACTGGCATTGACAATAACCCCAGCTCGTCTATCCGTCTTCTTTGCCATCAAAGGAGTGGTAATCCCCTGCTCCTGCTTCCCCAACCCCTGCCCCTCCTTCCACCCCATCTTCGCCATCATCCTCTGCGCCGCCGTCATCTGCCCCCCCGCCCCCACGCCCAGGCCCCCCGTCTCCGACTTCCCAATGCTAAAACCGTCCGAATTCGCCGGCGGCGGCGACGGCGACCTCGGCACCGCCCCACTCATCGCGGCGCGCCTCCTCCACGCCTCCTCACCGGAAACATTCAACCTGGAATCCCCAAAATCTCTCTCCCTTTCCCTCTCCCTCTCCCTCTCCCTCTCTTCTTCCTCCTCCTCGTGGCGGCGGCGCTCGAGCTCCCGCAGGATCTCGGCCTCGCGGGCCCGGCGCTTGCGGTCGCGGCGGTAGTCGTCGTAGTCGTTGGGGCGGGCGGGGTCGTACTCCTCGAGGACGGTGGAGGGGACGCCGACGAGGGCGGGCTGGAGGGCGTCGTCGGGGGGAGGGGCGGAGAGGAGGGGGGGCTTGGGGAGAGGGGAGGGGGTGGGCTTGGGCTTGGGCTGGGAGCGGAGGAGGGTTTGGGGGGGCGCGAAGAGGGAGGCGGGGTTGCGGGGCGTGGCGGGGGGC